AGCTTATACCTTTTAATAAAATTCCTTATGTAGTATGAACAGGTGCTTCCAGTCTCCTACTTTTTAGCTATCATAGGCTAACATGGCTTTCCTCTTATAATGGCCTCTCTCCACAAAATCATATTTGCATTCCTGATCAAAACCAAGTTTATGATATCATTCCAGTTTAAGCATTCACAAAATTACAGTTGTGGAATGTGGCGTGTTACTTTTGAATTCAAGCTGCAACTTTTATGTATTAGTTCATAACAGAAAGGATCTCTGGCAGATAATATTTTGAGAAGGGATTGTACTTCAAAATTAAGTTTGTGCATTGATAGTAACTAGCAAAATCTTAGCTAGTGTTTTGTGCTCAGTTACTGAAGTAAATGAGATTGAAGTAAACTTAGGTCAAATTGCACTGTCATTATTTTGAGGTGGGAAATCAAAACTGGGAATTGTTTTTCAGTTTCTTTCTATGTACTAATATAGAAAGATAAGATAAGAATGATCAAATCTTATCTTAAGCCACAATAGCTCTTTAGTAGGTTCTGAATTAAATGATTTGCCACAAGGTGGAGCTCAGTTCAGCTGAAAAATTTAAGGGCATTATCCACAGATACAGTACTGATGTGATCCAACACTGTAGAAACAGTAATAAAATGCAAAATTACAAATTTACTGCATGAGAGATTATCACAAAGACCCTGAGTGTTTGATGCCTCAAAACAACTATTGAAATTCAGTTCTACCTGAAGAAATAATAGTTTGCTCACATCTGTGGGGACTTCAAATACTTATACAGTATTAAGGGAAAGGGATTTTGCAGAAGCCTGGCGTTGGCACTTGGATCAGCTTCCAAAACGGGGAAAAATATGTGGTTTGTTTTCACAGCTAGAACAAATGGGTCCCAGTTGAACTTCATACCTTTTGGGCATTTTGCATCTAATCAGCTCAAGTGGACAAACCTAATAAGCTGTGAAATGTTAGCTGATACACTCTTTTTCCAGTTTGTAAGGAAATTGTGGTTTTATGCTGGGGCATAGGGGGTGCGGGGGGGCAAGTGTCAAAAATCAGATGGCAGCAACAGCTACACAATCAAAGTCCTGCTTCTGTTTGGCTATCTGGTATGTGGGGCTCTACTGCACAAAAATTCACCCTATTGCTGCTAAAATGCTTACTGGAAATGGAGGAGGGGAAAATGGAGAAGGGGGCAAACGCACCATCCACAACCTGAGGGTCACAGAAGGCTTCTATCTCCCAGATAGGCAAAGTTTGGGTAGTGGGGGGATCTTCAGACGAACCTCTTCTATTGTTTTAAATAACCAGGCAAGTCCGTAGTCTTGATCACTGGATAAGGTATAGTAGATCTGGTTCTGTTTTTCCTGTTCAGCATGGTTGTCTTTTAATGTTTGGTTTTTTTATTGTTTTTAACCCTGAGTAAGCTACACAGAGTTGTTGGTAAGTTTAGAAATCAAAATACAGTGGTACCTCGGGTTACGAATTTAATTCGTTCCATGACTCTGGTCGTACCCCGAATTGGTTGCACCCCGAAGCAAATTTTCCCATAAAGTTCAATGTAATTACTGTTAATCTGTTCCGGCGTCCGCAGACCACGCGGCAGGGGGAAAAACGGCCGTGGACCACGCGGCAGGGCGGAAAAACAGCTGCGGACCACGCGGCACGGGCGGAAAAATGGCCGTGGACCACGCGGCACGGGCGGAAAAATGGCCGCGGACCACGTGGAACGGGCGGAAAATGGCCATGGACCACGTGGAACAGGCGGAAAATGGCTGCGGACCACGTGTCACGGCGGAAAATGGCCGCGGATCCGGTTTGTAACCCGAGGTAAATTTTTGCAGCCGGAGCTGGTCGCAACCCGAAAAGTTCGTTAGAGGTGTTCGTAACCCGAGGTACCACTGTAATAGAAGTAGTCCCTCAAATTAGGCCCAAAATTGTTTAGGGCTTTAAATGTTAATGCTAGCCCATTAAATTATGTCTGATAGACAATTATGTCCTGTTAGGAACCTAGCTGACATATTTTGCATCAATTGCAATTTCTAGACACTTCTCAAGAGCAGCGCATCTTGGCTACTGCAGTGGGCTTTACACCAGCAGCCTCATGTAAAGCCCATTGTAACAGTCAAAATGGGATTTAACCAAAGAGCAGATAACTATTGCCAAGGACAGATGAGTTGCAGGTAGACCACTAGCTGGAATTGTATAAACTTGGTCCTTGCCATAGCTGCCACCCACAAATCCAGTAATAGGTAGAGGTCAAAGAGCACTCCCAAATTGTACAGTTGCTCTTCCTGAAGAAGTACAACTCCACTGAAATCAGGCTTCATCTCAGTTCCTGTCTACTGATATCTGTATGGGCTGAAACTGGGAAGATGGCAACCAACAGTTCTCAGGATAGACAGAACTGTTATGTGGATATTCCAATCTCAAATCTAGAAAGAAAATATCCAGATTTCTGTTGACTCAAATGGAGGAAGGAAAAGGCCCAGAATGTAAAGCCTAGAGCAGACACATATAAAGGACTTGATTTCGGTGTTCTGCACCATGCAGATATTCTGCATATACAGTATATGAGAACTTGTCACGTCATTCCATATCTATTAATTTCTACTATAAGCAGGTTCCTGAATACAGGATGTAGCATAGGGGATCAGATAGAACCTTGTGGGACACCATAGGTCAGCAGTATAGATGCCAAATAGCCCCATCTTCTGGGTGTGTCTTGACAGGAAGGGCTGCAATTACTGCAAAACAATGCCTCCAAGACCAGACAGCCCAGAAGTTGGTAGTATCAAAAGCTGCTGGGAGAGCCAGGAAAATTGCAGTCCTCCCATTTAGTTTTTTGATATCCAGGGAGGCTGTCTGGACCCAGGAAGAGTTTTTTCCTTAGGTTTTATAACTACTTCATTTAAGCAAATAAGAACACATCCCTCACTTGCAGCATTTTAATTATTTCCATAACAGTGAGGCCAGTTCCAGCATGGCCAATTTAATCAGCCAGGAGGGACATGGGTCAAGCAAACAGCTGGTGGCCTTCATCTCTCCACATGTCCTGTCCACATCCTTGAGATACTGTATATAAATTGAAAAGAATCTATGTGAACAGGGACAGTGGTTTCCAATGCTATCTTTATATAACCTGTCCCAATACTGGAGTTCCTGGTGAAGATTAACTATCTGATTAACTTTGCCTGCAAAGCATAATGAATATTGCTTACAGTGAGCTTCTTGAGTGTTCCAGCTCCCCTCCCACAACATTGATGGAGGAGATGTTGCACAGTACAGAAAAGCATCACTGGTCTTTTTTGTGCAGATACAATAGAAGCTGAAAAATAAGATCTCTTCACCATATCCACTGCCATGGAATAGGATTGTAAATGGGCTTTAGGAAGGGCCCTACTCCACATTCAAACCATTTTTTCCCTTCACTTTTGCTGCAGACTCCACCAGTCTGCTTCATTGCCCTCAGCTCCCAAATGAATCAAAGTGCTGCTTGAGATTTGCTAGAGGGAAGAGCATGCTGAGGAGTGATAGTGTCAAGCACCAAAGCCATATCTGTGCTCCATAGATAGCCACAATGTCAACAGGATCCCACACAATCTCTGAGGTTCAGGGCATGCATAAAAACATTTGGTTATGAACTGCACTTTAAGATCAAAAGAGATTAATTCATGGTATTACAATACTGGAAACACCAATATCTACCCTATATACTGTACATCACTGAATGGAAGAAATGACTTGCAAAATTGTTGTCATTACTTCAGGCTAATCCAGACAGGAAACCAAAACCATGAGTACTAACTCTACTTTTATTCTAAGGTTACAGTAACAGAATCTTGCAAATCTGAAAGCACTTCTCCCCTCCCTCACCTTTACTTTCCATAGACCTAGGGAGGATCCCTTCTGAGATGCTTTCCACATTTCCATTCCTTCTGTGGGCTGAGTTATCCCTTGTCTGACCATTGCCTAGGCTGCAGCTTCTCCTCCTCCTGTATCCCAAGGTTGTTCTCACAGACCATTACATAAAGCTGAATGAGCAATATTTCAAGGTTTTCTTCCCACATCTGCATGGATTGTCTTGAGTACCCAGTGAGGCACATGCACCCCACTTTGGAGACCACTAATCTACAGGACTGTTTTCTCCAGAATGTGCCCTTCTTTCCGATCTCCCTGAGAGAGACTGGGGGCAGTGGGAGCTTGGAAGCAGGCCTTTATCATGGGAGCCCCACCTCTACGGAATAGATTCCCCCCCCCCCGCCAAGTTTAGGAAGCCCGCCACAGTGTTTGCTTTTAGGAAGGCAGCTGAGACAGTTCAAGGTCTAAAATGTTTTTTATTTTTCTAAGTTTCATTTTATGAGCATTATGATTTGCAGTTACATTTTAGTTTATTTTTAATTGATATTGGTATGTTTTCTTTAATGGTTGTGTTATTTTCTATGATGCAAGCTGCAGAGTCTTTGGATAGGAGCAGGGTATAAATTCTTTTAAAAAAGCAATACTATCCTGTAAGCCATGATTGCAGTATATGAGCCCACACATAATGTAGTTTACTTGTTTGATATTTAGTACAATGTGTGAATCCAGCCAACTGTGGATTATTTAATAAGCCTTGATAATAAAATTGTAAAATCATATGATGCTATGATAACTTCCTATGTATAGCTTTGTTGTTTTTCAATTCCATCTTTCTTCTATTCCTCTTCTCTTTTGCTGGGTTTCTGGAATATTTATGCTAATTAAGTATTACAACTGTTGTTGAAAAATAAAATAAAAACTGTGCAGTAATGAACAAGATACTTGTAAAACAAACTCTCGGAACAGCTGCTCCTTTAACATGTTTAGTGCTTCCATCCAGAGTGTAAGATCTGGCTGAATGCCTAACCATTCTGCATTCAGCTTGGAGCAATGAAACAGAATCAAGGATCAAGTTCCAGATGCAAGGTACTATTATTTGCATCTGGACTAATTATTTATTCCAGAACTACTGCAATTGTTAAGGAAAGAAAATTAGCCTCCCCTCCCCAGAATGCATTTTCCAGGTCATATTTATTTAAAGATTATTTACTCTCCAGTTTGCTGCTTCAGGGCTCTCTAAAGTAAGGTAAGCTGTTGTTGTTGATGATTATGATGATGATAGTAATAATTTATCTTAGTAAAATGAATGCAAATCCAGAGCATAACTTTTTTAATTTTAATAAAATATAGTCAGTGACCAACTGGGTTTCAACAATTGTTGAAATTAGCGATACAAATATAGTACCGCTAGAAAAGAATGCATTATTTCCTGGTAAAGTATAGAGTTTAATAATATTACATAAGATGCATTTTGGAATTATCAGTGAATCATAAGATTGAAAAATTTATATTGGTGCCATTATAAATGAATTATCAAACCTAGAAGAGATTCTCTGAGTAAAGGATTTAAGGCTCCGATCCAATATCCAGTTTTCCGCAAGTAAACCCCATTGAAGTCAGACTGTAAGCTGAGTAAATTTATGCAATCTTGCAAAATTAGTAGTACTGTAATATGCCTTCTATTATATTATGGTCTATATTGTAGATATTTTGTAATAATTATCAAAAACGTAATTGCCTTTCATTGCTAAATAATTTTCTTTCTAAATAGAGTTAAATACTGCACATGAATTCTGATCAGAATGACTGTGTGTACCAATAACTTAGTTGTGGAGCACATTTACACAAGCACCCATTTTTTCTCAGAGAAAACTGATTTCATTTTTCTCAAGATAAATAACAGGATTGAGAGTCTTTTCAGCAATTCTTTTGCACATCTATCAGAATAAAGCCAGCTGACTAATTTTAAAACAATGGATGATGCTAATCCTCATAATTATATTTATATAACCCAATGCAAGCCACATTTACGTATTTTGTTTCTGGAGAAAGAGAAGCATAGGGTATCTGTGAATACTTTAGAAAATATAAAGAATAAGCAAGATCTGTGAAACTTGCAAAACTTACAATTTGTGAAATTGGATGTATCAGCCAGAAGGGAAAAAAATGCATAATTATTTGTATTTATTTATTTAGAATATTTTTTCCTTGGGTTTTGTTTTTTTTTTACTCTGTGTGTTTCTGTGGAAGCTTACAACAAAAGAAGTTAAAGCAAAATGAAATAGATTTTAAAATTAAGCGAGTAAAAATAGAACAAGCTTAGACACAGCTTTTGTAAGGCCTAATAGTAATAAGAAGATGGGACAATTTAATTTGAATAATGAAATGTTGTAGCTTAATTTCAAAGCTGTAGACTTGTATAACTGTTTAACAATGTTCTATACAAATTTGTATTCTGGGCTTGTTAACACGATGGAACGTTAATGGCTATTTTTGTTTTTTACTAGCAGGAGCAGTAAGCAGTTGTTTGATTTTGGATGCCAGCCGCTATGTGGAAAAAACACTCCATCTTTTACGTTTTGGTTTTGGCCATTGCAACAAACAATGCAGTGTATGGACAAAACAGAAGGAAGGGACAAAAGCTAAGTTCTCTAGCAAGAAAAGACAATCTTCAGGGTAAAGCCATTTTCCTAGAATTTGATACAGGCACCATGAAATAAAAGGAAATGCTATAGGCTGTATGAAATGATTTCCAAGGAAAAGCAATATATTTCTAGACAAGCATTTTGTATCTTCACAAATCCCATGGAATAGCATATTTTCAGTCCACATTGGATTACAAAGGACATTGTTATTCTCTTCTAAATGTGCCCCTCTTTGCTAATGACAGACAGGATGCGTAGAATATGCATTGAAAAAATATAGGCCCCACAACCACATTTTCAGAATGGTTTGGGAGACATTCAGATGGTTCCATAATCGTATCTTTTGATAAAAGTGGATTATATTGAGCTGTAGATTTAGTAACATCTTAGATAAATGGAGGAAAGCAATATAGTTAAATATTCAAGAATGTAAGAATAGAGTTTCCACTTATCTATAATTTTAAATAGTTTATATGTTGTTGAAGGCTACCTAGGAGATATCAAACATATAATAGCCATAAATATTATTCCCATTCTCTCTTTCTCTCTAGTGCAGGACATCATATCTTTGAATTCATGGCCTAAATGGTCCATTCTAATTCTGTAATTCTGTAAATCAGGATCATACAACTAGAATTGTGAAACAGCTTAGAGCAAACCATCTTAAAGATGAGGAATGTTCAACAGTGACACAGACTGTCTCAGAAGGAGTTATTTAAATAGAAACTGGACATCATCTGTTAGGGATACTGTACCTGATATTTCTGATTCTGTATTCAGCAAGGGATTGTTTATTGGAGTAAACTACTTCCAAGGTCTTGCCAACATTACAGGATATTAGATGATACCTAATGAGACTTTTCATGGAGAAACTTAGATTTTCTTTCATGTTTAGGATGAGATTTATCATATACCAAAGCAAGAAGGAATTTTATGCATAAAACTTCCTTTGTTACCTGTGCTAGAGTTCATACATTCAGTTGCAATTATTCTGTAACATGAGAAAGAAATTGATAACCCTGTTCTCTACATCATGCACTTAGCCTTACCATTTATTGGCTTCCACTGAATTGGAGCCACGTTACCTTGTTGGCATGCAATTTAGTGTTCCTGTGGTGGCAAGCCATGTTTAGGCAGAGAGGATTAGGTGTATACTGGATGGAAAGGAACTGTACTACTTCTTTTTTGTTCCACTTTGCCCCATCCCTAGTTGAGGGCATGGAGTAGAAAATCCTTCTGCTTCACAAGTTGCCCATGCTTACATGTGAAACAACTGGTAATATAGAGGTATGCAAATCCTGTTGTACATCAATATTCTTTGAAGTCCCCCATTTCTATGGTTGCCTTGACAGTGATGTCCATGGGACGAGGAGTCAAAATTATGAAAGCAGCCCAACCCTTTTATACATGCATCATAATGTTGCTTGCCTGTTTCTTCTAATGCGTGACTTTCCTCAACATGTCATTTTTAATCTTGTCCTTTTTAGATTCTGTCTGCTTTATTGACATCATCTTTGCCCTGGACAGTTCTGAAAGTGCAACGAATGTACTATTTGATAAGCAGAAAGAGTTTACTATTCAATTAAGTGATAAAGTCTTCCTCATGAAGCCCACCCGTGCCCACAGGTATAACATCAGACTGGCCATCATGCAGTTCAGTAGTTCTGTCAGAATTGAACATCCTTTTTCAGAGTGGGAAAACTTGCAGAACTTTAAACAAAAAGTCAGTGAAATGGGCTACATTGGGCACGGCACCTATTCCTACTATGCTATTTCTAACGCAACTCAGCTGCTCAGAACAGAAGGCCGTAAGACAGGCATCAAAGTGGCTTTGCTGATGACTGATGGTATTGACCATCCAAAAAGTCCCGACATTCAGGACATATCAGAAAAGGCCAGGACTCTTGGAATATCTTTCATTACCATTGGCTTGTCTAATGATGTCAAGAAAGCTAAACTGCTTTTGATATCTGGTGATTCCCCAGGGAAGTCTATCCCTATTTTGAATGAGCCCAACCTTTCAGATAAAATAAGGAACCAGTTGGTAAGTCATATTTTTAAAGTTTAATTTTAATTGTTGTTGAAGTTGCAAGGCCTACAAGGTAGGGAGGGCATGATTTTAGGATTGGGCAAATAATAAACTCATACTATGCATTTGCCCTCCAGATGTGTTGGACTATAAGCCCCAGAATATCTGGAAATGTAACATATATGGAAGGCAGGTTAAGAGAAAACTGATGTAGACTACTGCAATTATACATTAACCTCACTTTCAAAAGATTTAAGATATAAGGACACACTATTTTCTGAAATGGTCCCAAGCAGCACCTTTTCAATCTTGCGTTTAAACTGTTTACTAGTGAGTGTTACTATTTACTATTTTATAACTTTTGCACTTACAATTATTGTATTGTACTAATTTAGTTTTTAATTATTTAAATTAATTATTTAGGTTAAATAGTTTAATTTAAATATAAGAATGCAATTAACTAATTATAATTAACTACCATTATTTATTTGTTTTAAATATAAACTGTCTAACTTATGCTTGATTGTTAGCCACTTTGAGTATCATTTTTCTTTGTTGGAAAGGCAGGATATCAACCCAACTTATTGCTCTTATTATTATTCTGTATGGAACTTGACCACTAATCATTACTGAATATATTAACAGTCTTTTTGTTTGTTCGTCCTGAGAGAGCCCTTATGAAAGTTACAGAACTGTCTGGAATCTACTGCCCCTCATTCCTACTCCTCCCCTCCACTCCCCATATTTCAGGGTCACAACCTTCAGACATTCTTCAGTAACTGCACTGATGGTTCCCAACCAATGTCTGCTTGTTGTGGACACTAGTAACTTCCAGTTCATTGCCTCGCCAACCATTGTTGCCACGGCCAAGAATTAGGTCTTACACTTTTTTAGAAGTTGTCCTACATCAAACTATGGTACATTTCAAGAGCAAGGTAATGTCAGAGTAGGAAGAAGATATGCTTCTGCAGAATGAAAAAGTGTGCAGTTTCAGAGTATGGGCAGAATGGAAGGTCAATATTATAGTCATATTTTATGGCACACATGCTTCAAGCAGCCAATAGAAAAATATCCCAAATGTTGAGTATTGTATTGTAAAAAGAGTGGGCAGTGTTTTTCAGTGTTTCTCAGCTTCTCACGTGCTATCAGGCCCATCACCCAAAGACACATATGAACTATGGGTGTTCCAGTAGCTAATTAGAGCATTTGTTTTGGTCCCTCTGGGCATCTTCAGCTTATGGAGTTCCCTCACCTTTGAATCTTGCTTCTTGTTGGGGAGGGTTTGCTCCCTGGCCCTGCAAAGATTCCCAGATTTTTCATTTTGTCTAGCTGGTCACCTTGTTTGCACCTCCTTTTTAAAATTTTTTTGTTTGAGTTACTGCTCCAGAGACATCAGCTCTTGGCATTTTTTATCCTATTGACTACTGGTGACATTAAAAGTAGAGCTAGCAAGCAAGGGACTCCCGCTTGTTCTTTCATTGTTTCTGCTTTGCTTTGCTTTCCTTGGACTAGAATACTCCTAGCTTTCCTCTTCAGTTTGCTTCCTACAGGAAGCACAGAATACTGCCTTCCTTCTTTTTTTCCTCACCTCAAGGACGAAAAGCTTTCTACCACAGAATATAACTTTCCTAATAAACCTTACTTGTCCTTTGCAGCCTCAAACATCTGTTTCTAGCTTGTTTTAATAGGCTTGTTTTATTCACACAGTACATTCTGCTAAATATGAATCCAGTGAGTGAAATGGAGCATCCAAAAAATATACCTCAACATTGCACCCTCGCCAGGACCCAGTTTTCCTATCAAAGATATAACAAAGCTTGGGACTCAGCCAGGGCACGGTGATGTCGCAATGTATCTGAAACCAAGCCAGCATGCTTCCAATCCATCCCCAGATTGGAGAATATCTGGAAACCCCGTATGCTGCCTTCAGTTCAGAGAAAAACAGGATAAAATACTCAGCTGCAGGTTGCCTATCTGTAGATTTAAATGTACACAGGTCAATTATAGCTGAATGGATAAGTTTTGATGTTAGTTTACACCAGGCCTGCACAACTAGTAAGAGGGGCAACTGCCAGATTGGTACCTTAAATATAATCGCAGACCAGAAAGGAATACTTGGTGCACCGATCAGCTGTTCGGCAACTAGCGGTACAATGGCAGCATTGGAGCTGGCAGTGTCCATGACACCTGGAGGCACTGGAGGGCTCAGCAAAAGTCTGGGTGGCAGCAAATATTTCCTGGTGGTGGTGACATCTGGCGGCAGTGGATTATTTTCCAAAAAATGCCAGCGGGCTGCCCAAACCTGCTTGGTGGACCATATGTTGTACAGGCCTGGGTTAGACCTTACCTGAAATCATGGAATCATTGAACTGGAATGGAATTCAAAGTCAAAGTACTTTATCCCACTTTCCACATTCATGATAGCTATTATTATTAAGGGCATCCACAGGATTTTGCTGTTCTTCTAGCTCTACTTTATTGTAAGGTTACATTAACAGGATCTGGCAAGTCTGAAAGTTCTTCTGGGTGTGCTTCTTATCTGGACTACCTTGCAAGGCTGACAGTACTTGACAAAGAAGACCTCACTTTCTAAGGCATGTTTCAGAAAGCTCAAGAAACATTAAGTAGTGTCACAAACTATGATTTGCTTAACCAGCTTATTAGCTGATTTATTCACAGCCACAGATAAACCACATTATGGCTTAATGCAGTGGATTCATTTGCATAACTCACTGGTCCACAAACTACCCAATCACTTTTTAGTCTAACATGATGTGAAGATGTAGTCTGTTTGTTTAGTTGCACTATGACAAACACCCCTAGAAAATTGGATTAATTGAATAAAACACAATTTAGTTAACCAGGAATAAAGATGTTTTCAGCAAAAGGTGTATGCATTAATCCAGCATTTCAACTTTCTTGAAGTTATCCAAAAGCCCTGAAACCATCTTGCTGATTGTTTTGGTAGAAATGTTCCGTACACATGTGCTAAGCTCAGTTTTTGATGCAGTCTGGATTCACACAATAATCTAGGCTAAATTAAATTGAGATGGTCAGGTAGCAGCTCAACATGCAGCAAACACAACCATTATCTGAGAAGTTCTGTGAACCAGAATATTGTATTAAGCATAATTTAATGTATAGTTTAGCAAGTTAGGGAATATAGCGATTATATTTTGAAAACCCAGATTTTGGGATTAGTGTATTGTGTGTACTCAGCCACTGAGCTACACTAACATGTGACAAGGGATTTAATGTAACATTCTAAGCCACAATGTGATTTGTTTGGGGTTGAATTAGCATGTTATAAGAACCCAGCCATTGTGCCTTATTCAGTAAATCATAGTTAAACCATGGTGTACAGTGATTTGTAAATCCAATCATAAAATATACTTACATTTGATTTTATAATTTCTAATTTTAACAGCAGTGTACTTGCTACATGGAATAAACAAAAGCAGATAGAGAGAAACCTTATATGGTTGTTCCTCCAGAATATCATACATAAAGACAAAAGATAAACAGGATATGATTAGGTCAGAAAGACAGGAGCACTAGACATAATACAAGATCAAAGTTCATAATAGCATTACCCAAGGGAGTGCTAGAAGTGAAAGCTGTATAATCTACCGACAAGACTTAAAAAACAAGAAATGAAAAATAACAAAGTGGAATCAGTCTGTGTACTTGTCCTTAAAAGTCCAGAAAGCTCAGAAACCAGAGAAGATAAAAGATTTGGGGAGGGGGGGGAAGCAGGTGCAGCTTTTCCCATCAATTCAGTTCTGTGATGGGAAGAATTGCTATTGCTATTTTTTAATCATTTTATTTTTTCACTGTTTAGGAGTTTTTTTCAGAATCAGGACCTGAAAAGATCAGCCAGTATAACACGTCTTATACTGTTTACATGAATAATCATTTATTATCCAGGTTAAACATTATTTCATGCATCATTAAAGGTATCTGTTACAGAGATTCAAATAATGAGACATAAGTAACAACCTACATTACAGTGGATATAGACTTCAGTACTTCTCAGCAGATCAATTATTTTTCCAGTTTTTTTTTTTAAAATGTCAGGCTATAACTTCCTCAGCTATTCCCAATCAACAAGACAGCAGGGAAGTGGGAAGGAATCTGGACCCCAGAGACAATTTACAGGGTGTTTTTGCTCTGAATTCTTAAGTCCTGTTAGAAAAATGAAAGCAACCACAACATCCACAAAAAAGTAACAAAAAAATTGAAAATGTAAGATCAAAGTAAACAAAACTTTTTAAAAGTACATTAAGTCAATTTTATAGTAACTATCTATACAATCACAGCAATTTATTCTATTAAACAAATATTCATGAGATTTTGTTGGTAAGACTGAGATTTTTTTTAAAGTGAATAAAATAAAGCTCTGCCGTTGTTTAGTACAGTTGTCTGCATATGGGTTTGTGCTCTTTGTACTCCTCACTGTGAAGTCACCTTTTCTGCTAAGACTATATTCCAAGTATGGTAATATAAGCCCAGTGTGAGACTTGATGCTATTGTCCAAGACTTTACTACTGCTTGTCATGCTGCCATGAAAAAAAAAATGTCAACCATTCCTTTGGGGTTAATATGGCAACAGTATCATAAAAAATGATGAAAGAGCCACTTTTGCATCAAATATCATTTGTTGACCAATATTTTTCCTGAATAGGCTAACATTCAGATAATACTTACACATGGGTATATATATTCCCTGGTCTTTACAGCATCTTGGTCCCCATTTGCTAAATTCATATTCAAATTAATGATCCTATTCATCCAGAATCATTCTCATAAATTAAATGAGAACAGTGCACGATTCTATTTGCATGGAAACTCGGAATGGTGGCAATGGGTGAAATAAGGAATGAGAGCTGGTGAGTCAAACGGGTGGTAAAAGAAAGGGGGAGAAAAAGAGGATGATTGGGAAAGAATGCCCCCCAGAGTCATTGAAAGTCAGGCAGCATACATGCTTAATAAATTATTATTATTATCCTTTTCTCCTTTAGCATTTCTTTTTATTATCTTGTATTATCTTGATATTTATTGTATTTCAATAAGTTTATGTACTTGGTTTTGTATATTCATGGCAAAAGTGCTACACCTATCTTCAGTAAGTAAATAAAATATTTTTAAAAATTTAGGCTAATAATCAATGAGTGAAATGTCACGTTAAGTTAATCTATCATTTCTTCTAATTTTTCAGGCCACTATATTTGAAGAGAGGGTAAGTTGGAGAAGTTTGATGTACACACAGTAGATTTTCATTTTGGTATAATGTGCTTATACATTATCCTACCCAGAGATATCTTCTTTGCACTCACCTACACCAAATCATCTGAGTAAAAAATTGAATATTTTCCAGCTCTTCCCTCCTGCTGAAAGTTATCTTTATTCATTTTAGAAGAGTAGATCAGCTAAAACTACCATGGAAGGCATCTTTGAAGAAACTGAGCAGTTGTACATTTTTCAAGTATTTTTCTCTTTGAGGTGACAGTCTGAGCTTTGAACCAAAAGAGTGAATGCAGGGGTGGAAGAAATGAACAGTCCTCAGAAGCTTGAATTCCACACCAAAAAAATAGAGAGTGGCAACTAAGCATAATTCTTGGGAGAGTTTGTGAAAAACAAAGAAGAAGGATTTTTCCTATGGCAGTGTTGTCCAAACTTGGCCACTTTAAGATGAGTGGACTTCAACTCTATGAAGTAAATACTTCTGTGTTATGAATAATTCAGTAGTTCAAGAATGTACAGCTGTTTTTCCCTTGTGATGTTGCTGCTTGTACAATAGATTGAAAGGCAAGCTAAATACAGTATGTTGGCTGCAGAATCAAGTCACTTTTTCTTCTGAAGGGCGAAACTAGGATTTCAGCTGCAAGGTAGTTGAAATGTGGGACTTGTATTTGAAGGGACAGCATGGGCATTGGTAAGAAGGCCAAGTGACATCATGACATTATTGCACATATGACACTGTTGTAACTTCTAGGGATACCTATGAGAAGATTTTTTTATGTACTGTGTTAAGCCATATGGTGAATCATTTGGTTTAGCATAGTATGTAAACCTCGCCATTGCGGTTGGTAAACTATGGTTTATGTCTTATCTCCTTGAATAAATCCAGCCAGTTATAGCTTAGACAACAAACCACAGCTAAACCATGTTGCTGAACCTAGGATGACATTTAATCCTGGAATATAGCATTAAATTAAATTTAAATTATAAGTTAAATTATAGCTGAGTTAAAATGCCTTAATCATAATTTGTAGCAAGAGTTTATCACCTAAATCCCAGCGCCACATATTATCTGAACCTGGACAGGGGTTTGATCTATGATTAACCTTTCCTTCCAACCTCCAGGTGTAGAGGCAGGAGGTAGGAGCACCTGGGACTACTCTAATTACAGCATCTCTATTGATTCTGGCTCTTTCTTCAACACTACTCCCCCCCCAATTTTTTTTTTAATATGGAGTGGATTACTGTAATGTGCTGTACATGGGGCTGCCCTTGAAGAGTATCTGGAAGCTTCAGCTGGTGCAGAATGTGGCTGCGCAGACAATTATGTGTGCCCATAGGATGGCACACATTACATCTCTGTTTTGTGAGCTGCATTGACTGCTGGTCTGCTTCCAGGTAAAATTCAAGGTGCTGGTTTTGACATTTAAAACCCTACATGGCATGGGGCCAGGCTTTCTGAGGGACCGCCTCTTCCCAATCACATGTTCAGTGAGATGGGCAGATGTATAAATTTGTTAAATAAATAAATAAATTTTCTGTAGTCTGTTTTGAATAAAGGTAAATAAGTAACACCTGTAAAGGATCAAAACTGATTTGTGAAGGACTGTTTCCTGGGTGAGTTCAGATCTGGTAATTACAAGTTGTCTTCTTCATCTGTCATGCAAATTTATTTATGTTTTCAATGTTTCTCCTAAAACTTCTAGTGTGGAAAGAGCTGTGAATGTCAGAAAGGAGAGCAAGGACCTCCAGGACCACCTGTAAGTGTATGGCATAGTAAGAACTGTAAAATTTTCTCTACTTATAGTTCATGAGTGTAAATGATAATCTCAAGAAGGGTAATGCATTGATGTTTGAAAATAGGTCAGAAAGAAAAAAATCAACAAAGAATAAAACACACAATGCCTCCAGAAGGTAGATTTAACTTAGTAATGTAAAGCTTTCTAGCAAAGCTCGGGAATTAATGGCTCTCACATTACATGTGGCATTATTAGGCTCATGATGAACATATAAACAGTTGGTACATGAACTGTTCTGTGTACAGAACTGCCAATTTTGGGTAGGTTGTGTCTAAATTCAAACATGAGTATTCAGTCTGGACACAGATGGGAACATGTGCAGTCCGGAGAAGTGAGAGTATTGGCTGTAGCCCTTGGCAGCAGTATCTCAAGGAAAAGGGAGGAACAGGTAAAATCTGTGGCTAGGCTGGTGCCAAAACTATGCAGAGGAAGAAGGGAGAGAAGGTGGGTGCTTCTCTCACCCTGTAACACCCATCCAAATTTTGTTTCTGGATTTTGGTTCAGCCAAACCATAGTCTTCCTAGAACAGTTTAGCAGAAATTTTGCAACAGCTAAAGTTAACAGTAAGTAAGCAAACTTGAAACTCACTTTAATGCCATTAATACAATTGAATGAGTCTCATGTTTTATCGTAGCTATATTTGACATGCATAATAATAATTGTAACTGTTTTCAATTATTACTAATGATTGCTTATTAGTAATAGTAGTAATTACAGCTGTAGTAGTAAACTAGTTGCCAGCTGCTTTCAGATTGCTATTTGTGTTGGTTTTAACCTTCAGAGTAGGAGTATGCAACTTCTGTTGGGTTGAGGGCCAAACCATGCTTTGGGCACTCTGTCAAGAGCCACACTCCAAAAGGGAAGATGTGATTTGAGAGCTTAATAGATGTCTTAATTGTCTCCAAGGAATTTTTCCTTTTTTTCCTTTTTTTCCCTTACAACCCCCCAAATGCAAACAAAGAGCCAAAATTCTTTGGCCCGCTCATTCTGCACAATGAATCATCACTCAAAACAATTCCAAAGGCCCAGTTCAAGATCTTGACACTCATTCTGAAGGCAGAAGGAGAGTGGCAACTAAGCATAATTCTTGGGAGAGTTTGTGAAAAACAAAGAAGAAGGATTTTTCCTATGGCAGTGTTGTCCAAACTTGGCCACTTTAAGATGAGTGGACTTCAACTCCCAG